TGGGATTACAGGCGTGAGCGACTGCGCCCAGGCTCCTACTTTGTGAAATTCTGCCACCGTGCCCAGTGACAGATTGATTAGATGTAAAAATCTCCATTTTCTCATGAGTCATTAGAGAATTACCTCCCCTTGCAATCCTCCCAAGATGATCTGATGTAGGATGTTACTCTTTTCTGAGACAATCTGTTCCTTAAGAAATCTGTGTGTGGATGAGAGTTTACAAAATTCTCTGGTCAGACACTGTTCGTCAGGCCGTCATAGGAGATTCCATAGAAAGGCCACAGGTCGCTCTTTTCCTCTAAGAGCGCCAAGAGAACATCGTCATGAAAATAAATAAGGAACAATAGAGCCATGAATGAGAACTAGGCCAGTCACGGAATTATCTTCAGAGGGACCCTGTTGATTCCAGAAGCCGTTTCGAGCGGCCCCCATGAGGGCTGCTCACCTGAGTGCCCTGTGCTCGGCATTCATCGCTGCAGACGTGCTCTCGCCGCCGGGGGGAGGCTCCCCGAGACGCGAGCCGTGAGAGCTTGCAGCCTCCTGGCCAACTCACCACCACGCGTGGTTGGCACTTCCCGCCCTGCAGGGCCTGGCACACAGTAGGTGCTTAGCAGTTTATTGTCTGATTAACAAAATACTCTTTTCCAGTCCAATGTGGAGCATCTGACGGAGAAAATGAAGACCACCATCCAGAGGGGCCTTGTGCTCAGGTAAGTGAGAGACCAGGGCTGATCTTATGGTCACCGTCACACCGCGGTTCTTAGATTCTGGTCTGTGACTTTGGGCTGGATGAGTGGTGATTTCTTTGCCACTGGAGTGCACTACACGCTGAGCAGATGCAGAAGACAGTGGTGGTGCATTGCTCTAAAAACTTGCCCGCATTTATACAACTAAAATTTTTGCTTTGTAGTCTTACTCTTTTAGATATCTCACAATCATTTCTCTAATTAGCACCTGATGTTTATGAAGGAAGAAGGAAATTGTCATCCCTCTTAGCCTCAGGGAATGTGTCCCAAGTCTCCAGTAGGTGCCTGAACCTGGGGATAGTACCCGCCCCCTGTATACATGAGGGGGTGGGTACTGATAACCATCTGATAACCAAGGCGGCTACTGAGTGACTCGGGGCAGTCTCCACAGCATGGAGACTTTAGGGCACAGGGATGATTCGCGTTCTGGGTGGGACAGAGCAACACAGCATGAGATTTCATCACTCCCTGTTAGCTGGGCTTAGGTGAAATCGGCATCCTGTGTCGGTTTGTTGTGTCGCATTATGTGTCGCATATGTTGTCACTATACAACAAAATGATCTGGAGTATACGCATACACCCAGTTAGCTGGGAGACTTTTTTTTTTTTTTCCAGACAGTCTTGCTCTGTTGCCCAGGCTGGAGTGCAGTGGCACAACCTTGGCTCTCTGCAACCTCCACCTCTTCCAGGTTTAAGAGATTATCCTGCCTCAGCCTTCTGAGTAGATGGGAGTACAGGCGCCCACCACCATGCCCAACTAATTTTTGTATTTTCAGTAGAGATGGAGTTTCACCGCATTGGCCAGGCTGGTCTCAAACTCCTGACCTCAGGTGATTCGCCCACCTCAGCCTCCCAGAGTGGTGGGATTACAGGCGTGATCCACTGTGCCCAGCCAAAACATCTAAACTTTTAAGTCATGCCAAACATCACCAGCTTTAGGATTCTTTTGTTGGTGAGGTTTGAGTAATGGAGATTTTAAGGGAACTGTCGGCTTTCATGAAAACAGTGACAACCCCATTACTTGGAAATGCTTATTCAAATTAAACACTTCATCAAGTTAAAAACTGGAGCTTCCTAAGATTTAAAATGGATTATCAGACATGTAATATACTTGACACCCCAAATCAGAATGACCTGGAATGAGCTGCATGCAGGCACACGCATGTCATGAGCTGAGCCTGGGACAAAGCGGTCCAGGCCTCCTAACTGGCACACACTCCTTCCTCACCACCTCCTATTCTTTATACTTTTAAACCAGAGCCCGTGAATTTATTCCAGAGGGCTGATGAATCCCCTGAAATGATGATGAAATAGTAGGCGTATGAATGATTTTGTTAAAGAATCCACAACGGTTAGCAGGTTCTTAAAGCTGCGACCCTTCCCCACCCCAGATGAATTTATGAAATCCTGATTGAAGATTTTAAAATATTGGAGATTGTTAGTTGACTCGTTCCATTTATTAAAATCCTCCTCTTACTGGGCAGGGGGAAC